ATCCCCCAGCTCAGTACCCCTGCCTATTGTAGAGCAGAACTGTCTCCATGCATTTCTCTTGACAGACTTAATGACCCTACGTACTAAAGCTCTCTTCCTTTGGAAATCAACTAGATTCTCAGGAGTCATATTCGTACGCAACACTTTGTAAGCCCTATTTCTTTCTTGAATAGCCGCAGTGCACTCTCTTTTCTCACCCACTTCACTCTCTAGTACATATACTTTCGCAGCACTCAAAATCAGAGAGGTCACAGAGGCAGCACGTACATCAACCGGCCTCTCTAAAGACAACTGTCCAACAGACTTTAAGCAATGATCACCAAAGTTTTCCCAGTCTGCTTTATGAAAGCACCATCTTCTGAATGGTACCCAATCTGGAATAGTAACATCAAAGTTCATCGTACACGAAATCGGGAAATGATCACTTCCAACAGTAGAATCATTCATTCCATTCCATTCACACATAGATGCAATAGAGTTAGAAGCCAGTGTGAGGTTCAGGTAGGATGTAACCCCTCTAACAACATCAACTCTTGTACCACATCCATCGTTAAGACATACTAATGCTCTTGTTTCCATCATATCTTCCACAATAGTAACATTAGCATCTGTATGTGTGCTTCCCCATAAACTATTATGTGCATTAAAGTCGCCACACCATCTCTCTCTAGAGCCCAATTCTCCTGATATTTAATCAAACATCGCTACAGATAGTTGACGACAAGGCTTGTAAAAAATAGTGTAACTTAATATTACTACCTGCACTGTAGATTTCCATCATCACACATTCAGTTATATTACGATATACAATACCTTCTCTTATGAACGTAGCACAACCACCACCCTGTCCAAATGATCTATCAGATCTGATTGAACAATAACCAGGAATAATAAAATCAAGATGTGGCCTAAGCCATGTTTCTTGAACACATATCACCTCAGGTTTGATCTCTAAATCTATTACATATTTCTTAAACTCCTGACCGTTAGCAATAAGGCTTCTGGCATTCCACTGAAGGATAAGAAAAACCATAACTCTAAGTATCACCATACTGAGACATTCCATCATTAGTATTATTAGGAGTCAACATATCAACAATCATGGCGACAGTAACTTCTGTTACTGCTAAAAACTCTGTTGCTGGTTCCAAAATGATCTTCAACTTGGCAGTTCTTCTTTCCACAAATGCAGTCAGGTTGATAACCTTTCCAATGAAGGCTATTAAGTCAACCTGATTAACTATTAAGGTGTTCTTTGAAACAACACATTTGTGAGAGCAAGATTTCTGAGCAGGTCTCGTATGCGTGTCTGGACCAACATAAGCAACATTTCCTACAGTAGGTCCACTTATTCCAGGAGTAACCCTATTATCTCCATCATTCTGCCTAATAGTTCCACCAATCTGCCTTTCAGCCTCTGCATAAGAGACATTATGAGTGATTTTATATATTTGGGCCTCTCTAGCCTCTTTCTGCACCTGGCATCCACCAAATGCTGCACTGTGTTCCCCCCACAATTACAACATTTAACCTTGACATTGTTCCCACATTCACCATAATCATGTTCCTCTCCACACTTGGCACATATTTTCTTTGCACAGAGCCGCTACATGTCCCATTCTTTGGCATTTAAACACCTTAATGGAGGTGGGGCAAACTCTCTAACAGTGAAAGCCAGGAAGCCCATCTGTACTTTCTTAGGTACAACCTTCCACAGACCATCCAGGTCCATGACTTTCATCATCCCCACCCATACCATCAGAACTATCATCCATGTCGACCACAGTCCAGCACAGCTATTGCTAAAACCGCCTACCACAGTATAGAACGATGGATTCTATTTCGCTTCCTTGTTTGAAGTCGAACCTTGCACATCCAAGCTTACCGTCGTTTAGAATTCTTCTTTGATGGGGTTTAACGGCTGTTGGCATCCAATGTTAATGGTGCATTACCGCCACCAGCTGGACGGGGTATTGAATAAGAAACTAAATAAAACACGTAAACTAAGAAAACCCATCACACTTCTTCAATCACAGTCCACTTCAAAATACATCCGTACACAGGCTCAGGGGCCTGTGATGGGGATACATTCACCGACAGGATTTCTTGCACGTCCTCGGCTGTGAAATCACGAAGACCCAGAAAACGTTCAGCGGCATTCACAATGATTCCAATTGTCTAATACTTATTCTCCGCTTGTGCTGTACAGTTTATGACCATTGCAATAAATAATACAAAGTCCACCTTTTTAACATGTAGCATTTCACTATCCCTGGGTTGATGAGAAACCTTCACTGGTCATGGTGACTACTACCATTGCTTCTTCCCCGCCACTCATTCCTTCCAATTTTCTCACCGCCTCCAGATAGGAGACACGTTGGACACTCCTTACCCTTGCCACCTCATTGTCCTTCACCCTAACAGGGCACTCCAAGAATTCAGGTGCATGTTCACCTCCACAGTTGCAACATTTCCCTTCATCTGGCATACGATATTCTTCCCTTCTGCACACACTTGACACATGACCAAATCTTTTACATTTATGACACTGAAGAGGCTTGTGCACAAAAGCTCTTACAGGGTATCTCATGAATCCTAACTTTATATGAGAAGGGAGAGACTCTTCATCAAAGAACAGTAGCATGGATGAAGTCAATTTATTTTCTCCATCCACCATACAGGTCAGTCGACGTGCACCAACCACTCCATCGATGTCTTCAGTTATATCCTCTGCCTTTATTTCTTGTGCCACCCCAGAAATAACCCCCTTGATAGGGGCCCTGCTACAAAAACCAAAACAAGGTAAAAAGAAAATCCATATGTGATAGGGAAACTAACTTCATCCACCCAAATAAAATAGTACATTGACAAAACAAAACAAAATTCCCACTTCTTCCTTCTTTCAAATCTCAATATCTCCCTTCTCAGGCTCTAGGGCCTGAGAGGGTGGTACGGCTTGTGACAATATTCCATGTAATCTTTCAGTCCCAGGAACCACTCCGCTGCATCCACAATGATATCTATCTTCCTGGACCTTCTCTCCACCTTGGCAGTGCCATTAATCACCATAGCTATAAAGGCCACAAAGTCCACCTTCTTAACCTTTAAAATGTCAGGGTCCTGCTGGTGAAAGACATCCCCTGCAGCCTGCAGTGAAGGCCTATCCACCACCATGGACTCTTCAGGAGCACCATTCAAACCCTCAACCTTTTTAACAGCTGCTGCATATGAAATGCTCTGGACAGCCCTGACTTTAGCCACCTCATTCTCTTTCACCCATGTCGGGCAATCGAAAGATGTAGCTTCATGGTTCCCACCACAATTGCAACATGTCACATTTTCCTCACTTTTAAAACACATGATATGATCTTTTCCACAACTTGGACATCTCGGCTTCTCCCTTCTGCAAACACTTGAAACATGACCAAAAGCTTTACAATGATCACACTGCATTGGTATTGGGATAAATGCTCTGACTCTGTAGTTTATATACCCCAACTGCACTTGAGTAGGGAGAGACTCCATATCAAAAAACAAAAGAACAGATAGACTCTTCACTTTTTCACCATTCACCACACGATTCATCCGACGTGCATCAATCACTCCAGGAATCTCTTCAAAATCGACTTCTCACGAGACGTCAGATATAACCCCTTGAGGGGTGCCCTGTTCCGAAGAGACACACCTGACACTTCAAACTTATCAAATTGGGTGAGATGCAACACACGTTCCTTCTGATCTGCAGAAGCACAAAAAATCCAAACAAGCCCGCCTCTCATGATCTTCACAGCCTTCACTTTACCCAACACTCTCTCTTGGATATCTCAAATGGTTTCTTCAAGATTGGTAATCTGCTCAGCTGCTCCTCATTAACAAACCGTACTCCTACTAAATACGAAGGGACATTCTCAGCACTGTACACTACTTTGCTCCGTTTTCCATTCTTTTGGACAATACTCCAATTCTCCTTGATTCTACCGCCATTGGATTCAGAATCCACTTCATCGTCCGCTTCCGCCATCTTTTTCCGCTTCCGCTAGCCCTCGGCATTTAGAATGAAATGTGGAGTGGAGCTTTATAGTTACCCGGTGACATCACCTGCCCTGCATATCTTCAAAATGATTGGGTGAAAACACAGTTTCCCTTATTTGTCGCAATGAAGAAAGTTCGACAAAAGAAAAATCCACCCGTTGAACGAATAAAAATGTTGTCGATCTTTAGAAACTTTGTCCTATATCTGCCTTTTCCATTACACAAGTCTCCAAACAATTTTTTGCCGACATTGTTTTTGGCGAATAAACCTGGTTCAATGGGCACCTGCCTACTGTGTGGGCTGGTACCCCATTTCATGGGTGCACAATCCATAGGTTAGGCTGTACAGGACATATAAGTAGCCTATGCCCCCAATGCAATTCTGAATTCAAATACATCCACAGTACGATTTCAACAGATTTTTACATTTTGTTTGTCAAATTAACTAATAATTGTCTTTTGTTGAATTTATATAACAATTTTCCAAACTTGTTTAGCATTATCTAGTCCAATTGTGGCATGATTCCACTATTTTTATCCGTTTGCATCAGTTTCAATGGGGGACTTTTATTTTGTGGCCTACACACACAGGGCTCTTCCGGCTGTAGATAATCCTCCTCCCTTTTCCCTGCACGCATTCCAAATGAAATCAGGAAGGGATTGTAGGCTACACGATACAACGGGCTTTGACAGCAGCTAGGAGAAACTGCGAGCAGCGACCATTCAGGAGATATTAATTCAGAAGATATTAATTGTTGGGTTTTACAGATGGAAAGGCTATTTACACCGTTTTAATGAATCGGTTCGTTTGACTAGTGGAGGCGCAATTTTAAACACTTCCTTGAAATGTCACAGAATGTCATCATCGCAAATCTTCAATCGCATATCTCCCTTGGCTTCGTGAAAGGAATTTAGAGACAAAAAACGACGATTATTTTCACAAGCAATTTGCTCATATTCTTTCAAGCATGATGGTTTCATACAATTTCATATTCACTTTGGTTATCGCTGTGGCATGGAAAGTTATAGGTGAACCACAAACTGTGCCTTCACCCGCAACGCAGTTAAATTCAACATCATCCCCCCATGGAGGGGATTTGTCAAATAATAGCACAGATCATGCACAGACCGAATCAAGAGTTTCTTCAATATTACAATATCTTCCTACTCTTAAAAATATTGTAATTATTATCTGCGTGCTAACAGCTGTTCTCATCTCGTGCTTGGTCATCAAAGTGATCAGGTAAGCTGATTTAAGTTTACACCATACTAATAACTCTATAGCCAACTGAATTATCCTAATTAAAAACACCTAGTGTAATATGCTATACTATTCTTATAATAAATCTAATTTGAGCATTCGTAAAGATCCTACTTATTGATTATGTCATGCAGCATGTAATAGGAAAGTTGGCAAATGGAGGATTTGTTCTCTATTGCAGCAACTATCATATTGTGTCAGTAATTGCTTTGGGAATATCTAAATATGTGAAAGACCACTACATTAGGCTACATCAGCAATGCCATAATCACTTCCCACACCAGGTGGGCAATAGGCCTTAACCACAGGCTTTAATCCTGTCCATATGGCAAAGCAGCCATGTCAGGTTCTGCTTGGTTCAAGAAGATAAACTACTACACACCTCTTGTCTCATTATCACAACTCTTCTCTGTTTTGTCATAGATCTGGAAGGAGAATACGGAAAACACGAAAGTATGACATAATCACTACACCAGCAGAGCGAGTAGAGATGGCTCCTTTGAATGGGGAGAATGAGGAAGAAGAGGACTCCACCCTCTTTGATGTCAAGTACAGGTAGGTAGGTCTGTTATGGGTCTACTCACATCAGTACCAGGCGTCCTAGTCCCAACGTGACCATGCTATCCAATCCCTGGACAGCAGGGCCACGCATTTTTAAATAGACTAAAACCTAAACGTTCCTTGTCTATCACCAATGTTGAATACAATTATATTTGAACTTACCCTACCAATTGCCCATGGGGTTGGTTCTTATATAGGGCGGCATTTGAGACAAAATATCCAAAGGAACGTATCAGAGAGGAAGTGGGTCTACAACAGACCCACGTTTGGAAAGTGTTTAATAATACGTTCCTTTTGATATTTTGTCTCAAATTCTGCCCTATATAAGAACCCACCCCACGGACAATTGGTAGAGTAAGTTCAAATATAATTTTATTCAACATTGTGATAGACAAGGGACACTTAGGTTTCGTCTATGTAAAAATGCGTGGCCCTGCTGTCCAGGAAATGGAAAGCATGGTCACGTCTGGACTAAGGCGGTCAGAACTTAAAGTGAGGGAGCACCAAAACTGTTCACATACCCACAATAGTTTTTGATTCTGATATTCCTGTTTATGAGGATGCTTTCTATTTTGTTATATTGGCTTTTTTGTGTGATCTCTACTACTTTCATTGCCAGTGCTTAAGCGTAACTAAACATTTTACAAGGTTACAATAATTGTTTTCCCTTATATGTTTCATCATGAAAGGTTTTCTGTGTGGAACAGCCACACACATTGCTTTTGCCATAATTGCACATTTAGAAAATGTTTGAACCTGGGATATTTAGATTTTAGACTGTCTGCTTAATAAACCCTAAATTACGATAAACATGAAAGTGGGGAACTGTTTGAGCTCAAATGTATCTGTTCAATATCATCCATCTGACATGGTTTGGGAAGTTCTTAATGTTGACTGAACCTATGGTGTTATTTCAGGGTAAAGTAATTACTAGCTATAAGCTAAGAAATAACATGCAACAATTGTAATTACATAGTAATAACATATAAATGACATGTCTGTTTCACTGTGAATAAATATAACAAGGACCTCTATGTAACATTTAGTACCAGCTAGCCTAGTGCCATGTTACCAAATTCTTTGAAGTACTACAAAGTGTCCATTGTTACTAAAATACCAGGGGAAATGGAAACAGTACTGTACAATAAAGTGCTTCTCATCTCTGCACGGCCTTAAGTCACATGCTTTCATGTGTTGCAACATTTCAAGTGTTGACTTTAGGGTTCTCCCTTCCATTCTTTCAATTGTTCTTTGACATGGCCCCAACTTCCTGTGATGAAGATATGGGCTCCTGTTTACCAGACATTCTATGCTTATAATTCAAACTCAGCTCAGCAGGGCTATTTTCTACCACACCCACACCCAGTGGACAGTAGACTTACAAAAGCAAACAGATGAGTGGTAAATCAATAGCTAGTATTTCTAAACATTGTTCGTCTCCTGTAAGAATGTGTGTTTGTTTGAAACCTGGTAGCTTGTGTTGATTGAATAGGAAGCCAGGTATGTCTGATTCTACAGTATTCAGAACTTAGAACCATTTCACTCCAAACTATAAATATACATTTCTATGTAGGCTACTGTAATTCTGTATTGTCACTTGTTTTTTAGGTGAATACCAGTCATTAAACAGAGGATGTTGGATTTTAAATCATAAACCCATCATTTTCTCCAGTGGAACACAACCCAAGGATATGTGGCCTAACGCTGTCTCCTGATGTCTTCAGTGTTTTGTAACTTCTGTCAAGTCCAGTCAAGTTTCCAATCTCACCGATATTTTCAGAAAAGGTTACTTCTGTGGTCTGGTTTTCTAGAATGTATTCTGATTGTAAACATGATGTATTTACAATCCTTTTGTATACATCAGTCACTTCCAACGCAGAAGGTTCCTCTTCAGAGGGATGTTGCCAATAGATTGTGAATTGGGGCTAGCTCAGTAAATTTTAATCTTCTTTAAGCTAAAACAAAATACATAGAGAACATTTGATGGCTTTTGCTTAAAGGCAATCCTCTTGCCGTCCTGTAATGCTTATAGTATGTTATTCACTGTAATAATATAATATTTTATATTATGATTTGCATACTATGAAAAATACTTATTTACTCGTTTGGTGCAAAGATTATTTTAATTGTCAACTATTCTGCTATTCCAAATAGTACACTAACCACTAAAATGTGCATACACTGTATACTGTATGAGGCTTTCTGTCCTCTGTCTCATTGTTGGTTTGGGTGCATATTTTTTACTGTATGTGTTTGAGAGTCTCCCGTTTTGCTGCTATCTCTAACCTGGGGTTGGATAAGGTTGCAAGTGCATATGTTTGGTCACAATGACAAACAATTGTATTAAAGAACAGGTCATATAATATACTTTGTAGGATTTTGGAAATAAATGTACGTTTCTCAAAGTTGGATTGTAAAATATATCAATGTATATTTGGATATACAAACAGTAACTCTTTTTTTTTTAACCAATATTACCTTGCCAGACATGTTTCCGGTCTCCAAGGAATGGAGACGGGGTCATTGGCGTGTTCTAGTGAATGTAATTACACATATCAGGCAAATCCTGGTATTGCTTACACAGGCTTATTAAAAATGGCATGACATTCCTGGCATGTCCCACATTTACTCAGAGCTTGTGGAATTAATTATTTGATTGGTTCCATGTCACAATGTTTGGCTTTGAGACTAGACTGATGTGTGATATTTATTTTAAGTGAAGCAATAATCATAGATAACTAACTACTCTTACAAAATGAATGCTTTTAAGCTGTTGATAGAATAAATAGTGTGAGAAGAGGGGGTTATGACTGTTGTAATATAAATGTATGCAGATTACTTTAAAATGAAATCGGCACCTACCTCTTTCCTGTAGGAATTAAGAAAGTTGAACCCCCAAACAACGTCCCACCATTTAGATAGTGGCAGTATATTAAACTGACGAATGGACTGGCAAACTTTGCATACAGTACATGGTTATTCTATTTCAAACTAGAAGCAATTGAATGGCTAATGTGTATGTACAATGCCTTTTAATTGGACCATACATCAGTAAATGGAGTGCTTGCTTTCACATTCAAAAGCTTTACATTAGCCTACCCCTACAATTAAAACCCATTGTTGGACAAAAGTTACCCATCAACTCAGGTATTTCAAGGCACCTGTGACATGTCTCTCTAAATAGTCTAAAACATGAGAAAATAATGGATTGAAACAAATGTTTAAAGAATCAGTAAATAAATAACTCTAAAAAATAATAGTTTAACATCATTCCATCCTTAGATAATGTGGTCTTAAAAGGTCCTCTGGAAATGTTGTGTAGTAATATAAAAAACGTGTTGAATCCCTAGAGGTCACCTTGTCTGTTTAACCAGTTTTGTTATCTGAGAGTACACTCTCAACTAGAGTACATACAGGGGTTTCCAGGAAACTCAAATTAATTCCAGTTGAGCTACCTGATAGTCATACTTGTATGCAAATAATTCACTTTCCTCAATGTTTCAACATGGGAAATGTATAGTGAACTGTGGTGGATAGCAGCAGAATTTTGCATACAATCATTACAAGTTCATTTTCTGTTATGTATATGTACCTCATACAGTATGTTAAATATGTATAAAAAGCGTATGTTATATTTTCAGAATACAATGTATTGATTTTTTTTGCTGTTATATGGTCAAAAGTAACACAATTAGGGGAACTTAAAACTTTCTGTTCAATCTTCCAATGCCACATTGACAGAGAGCACATTATGATTTCAAGCTGTTAATTGTTTTCCATTTAGATTCTATTTTTCAGCCTGCAGTTAAAATAAATTACTATTGAAGATTGACAGTAACATTCAAGTTTCCCATCGTATACAAATATAAAGAACTTGAGTCCAGTTTGGATTATAATTTTATATTTCAGTCATCAGAGGATTTCTATTTTTGATATTTTGAGTGTGATTTAGTTAATGCTATAGTTTTCAATAATGTACAGTTAGTCTTGTTTCTTTGATTGTATCCTTGATATATTTGTTAGATATATTGTTGCTAGAACATTTCCACCTTCAGCGTTTCACTCCTCTGCAATTGATATCTTATACAATATCCTCTCTAAAAGGGTAATAGTGTGAATGTTTCTGATCTTCAGTGCAGTGTTTGAATGTACAAGTAATTTATTGTGGGGCTTATGTCTCGTAACAATGTTAATTTGAACTTTATTGAGAACTTTTATTTGAAATGAATATTCTGGTTAAGACAGCTTTTCCTCTTGTAAATGCAATCAAAGCTGCCATACTATATGTAGATCATCGCTAATTACCCTCATCCCAACTCTAAGCCAAAAAAGCCTAAGTGAGAAAACCAATGTTTAATGCTTATTTTGAAGAATATTGAAAGCATGTCTAGCTTGGTTTTTCTGTCACAGAACATGTCATTGTAGAGTTAACTACCCAATGGCTGGCGCCATGTTTTTTCCCCAAATAAAAGTACTCTCCCTCACCATCAACCATCTCCTGTCTTGGTCTTGTTGAATATTTTTACTGAAATGAGACATTCACACTTGGTCAGTATTCATTTTTGCTAAGCCCTTGGCTTATGGAGTTCCATATGGTTGTATATCAACAATACTCTCCAGCCTTGGGACTCTCACCATGTTCTACACCTTTCTGCAAACGTTCCTCCTTCCTGTAACATACACACAGTTCCTTTGATACTACAGATGTACTTTCTATGCGCTTCCTCTATTGCTGTTTCAATCACTATAAAAGGTAAAAGGTAAATGAACCATTCTGCTGAAATGAGCCTATTTCAATAAATATTTAATGGATTTAGTATGGTCACCTTCCAAAACAAAAAGCACTTTCAGATCCAACACAAGAATATGCATCAAAGAAATCTTAACAAAATGCTGAGGATATATAGACTTCAGACAGGAAAACCTCAACATAGAATACCAAAGAATAATCATTAACACATTTTGACAGCAGGATATGTGAACATCTCTTCA